GCCCGGGGTCAGAGAACGCACATTGGTCATACAGCCAACGTTTCGGGGCCACGCCGGGTCCCTTCCTCAGGGCTTGTTCACACCATTTTTCTGGGGCAGATCTGCAGACGCGGTGCTATGCGTGCAACGCGTTTTGTACCGCGTTCCCGATGCGTTCCAGTTCTTTGTGGAGTGGGGCTGTCAGCTAACTGCAGTGCGTTTTTGACGCGTTCGTGCGTTTCCGGACCGGAGAAAATGTGACATGCAGTATTTTTTCTGCGCTGGTGAGAACTGTAACCCATAAAACACATAGGCAGACATTGGGATGCATTTGGGGTGCAGGAGCGCACGGTTCTGGTCCGGACAGAATCCGGACGTCGTGTGAACAAGCCCTCAGGGTGGCACAGTGACCTCACAGAACCATATGAAACCAGTTCAATGTATCCGGGCCTGAGGGGTCCGTACGGGGATCAGCAGGCTCCATACTACGCAGCAGCTTATGTTACCCATGTGGCTCACCTGGAGTCCAGCAGCTCCAGCGCAGAGAGCGGGGTCAGAGGCAGCCAGGAGCGCAGTAGGGAGTAGATGTCGGCCAGGTAGGACATGTCCCATTTGGGGGCGCTGGCCAGGATCCGGGGAAGGCTGGTTCGGTTCTGGTAGCAGTAGTGACGTTTCTCCCACAGAAGGGATTTGTCTTCTTTCGATAACCTGCAATATAACGACGTCAGAGGAGGGAACAAAGTCTCCGTTCCGGGATGGAGGGGGTCCCAGGGAGTATTAGGCCGGGTTCACACCTAGGCGTACGGAACATGCGTTTCATGCCGCACGTTTTTACGGTAAAAGAAATGCGCGACAAACGCGCGTTTCCGGGGGCTATCTGGCAGTATCCCAATGGATAAGCGCGGCAAATACGCCCCAAATAATCTCCTGTACTTCTTTGGGCGGAGGGCGTTTTGTAGCGCGTTCCTACGGCCTGTAATACGCTCCGGTGGGAACCCGGCCTTAGGACTATCACCAGCGCTATAGATAATACTACGGGTACACCATCAATGGTATAGAAGGTGACACCACTTCTTGGGATTCAGGGCAGTAGACTGTTGCAAGCTTAAACAGGAAGTTAGGAGCTCCCCGGGTGTCCAGCACACAGACGGGTATTGCTGATCTGTACTCTATGTGACGTTTTTGCCCGGACACACGCACAGTAAGTCCCGGATATCGGGGACACAATCACTATACAGCCGATGAGGGGTCACCGGCCTCTTACCCAGACACGGCCTCTTTGGAGAGGAGAGTCAGCAGCCTGTTCTTGGCATCCTTGTCCAGTGTCTCGATGCTCTGCGGCATGCTGCAGCTCGTCGCATCGGGAGCTCTGTGCACGATATCGAAAGCCGGAGACGGGAAATCCACCTGAATAGAGGAGCAGAAATCTCAGCACCGCATCCCTCGGCAAGATCCCATTCCGCGGAATTGGGAAGAAAGTCTGTGAGGGAGATTCCAGGAGAAAACCCGGGGGGAGACGTGTGTATTATAATCCACCCCCCCACAGGGCTGCCACCAATCCCAGCACAGAGGGGGAGGAGCCTGGACAGCAGATATCCGCCTCCGCGGGGCAGAAGCTCTGCAATGACTAAACCCCTTGAAATGTTCATAAATGGCCGGCAGAGTATTTCATCCAATGGAACGTTTTCCATGAATTGTCAGATTGGTTTGTCTATGACCCCGGATGACCTCCTCCGATCTCACCGTGTATGACCGCACCAGGATCTGCCAATCAGATTCCCCCCCGGGAATACACTCACCTGCATGACCAGCTTCTGCATTGGCATGGTCCTCCTGCCCCCGCTTCCCGGCCCGGCACCAGACTGGAAGGACGTCCACAGGTTCAGAAGTTTGGTTCCACATGTCAGAGTTCTGGAAGAAGGAAAGAACTGGTTCAGAACATGGAAGGTCCGGAAACACTCATCATGCAATACTCATAGATCTCTGTGTGCTTAGTGCGTCTGTGCACTTCGTTATCGGTGGGCCGGACTCTGTCTCCTTCTCTGAACTACGGATCTCATAAAGTGAACCTGTCAGATCACAGAGATCATCCAATGAGAAGGTGCCACAAGCAGCGCTTACTCTTCAGAATCCACTGTGCCAGGCCCGGCAGCGGTGACCTTGTGGGGAAGTTGCGGGCGCCGGTGTAAGGTGTCCGCCGCCGTCCAATCACGACGGGGGCGGCCCGAGGCTCCGCCCACCGGCTCCGTAGTGTGCGGCCGCCAGCCAATCACGGCGCG